CTCTGGGTGTGCGGGGCAGGAGGGCGCTGCTGGCAGCCGGTGGCAGCAGGGGGATGCTCATGCGGATGTGTGCTGCGAGCAAGAGACGTGAGGTAGTGACCCGGCGGAGGTTACGAGGTTGGGTGGCGCTGAATGTAGGAGAATGGCGTGGAGGTCAAGCAGGGCAGATGTGGGGAGAGGGTTCACCAAGAAACTCTGCTGCGGGAAAGGCGGGGTGCCGGCCCTGGGGCAAAGAGGAGAAGGGAAATGGACCAGTTAGTAATACCAGTGGCATTGACAGATCAGCTCATGCGAGATATTGTCCTTGATCTAATAGTCTGTGCCAATTTTTTTAATCATTTCCCCTTTCTTGTATCATAAGTTGGGTTTTGCAGACTTAGATTTCAGCATCTTTTTATCCAACCAGCCTGTTCCTTGTAATCTGTATTTTAAAAAGCCCTCTACTTTCTGAACCGTAGGAAATTCGTAACATTCATAATGATGAACTAATGGGTATTCGAAGAGAGGAGGAAATGGAAATGTCTGATGAAGAAATAGAAGATCCATCAGAGATGAAAGAAACGGAAGAATCAGGTAAAATCACTTTTTACAGCTCATAAGCAAAATACTTATCTCTCTAGTGGTTTCTTTCTCTACCTCAAAATTGGGACAGGCAAAGCAAAATCAACTGCAGGTATCTGGAGTTGTTTTCCTCTCGGTGCCTGGTTCTGTAGCCAGCGTTTGTCACTCCTCCCTGCGATGGTCAGGGTAACCTAAAGCTGTGTCTGAACCACTAGCGAGAGGTGTGGGGTCCATGGAGATGTACGTGGAGGAGCTGTAAGCTCCCTGCCATGTGTGCAGGTCATGGCACAGGCGCAGCGGTGCATGGCAGTGGAGCGAATCATAGAATGGTTAGAGCTGGAAGGGGCCTTAAGGATCATCTGGTTCCACCCCCCTGCCCCGGGCAGGGACACCTCCCCCCAGCCCAGGTTGCTCCAAGCCCCGTCCAACCTGGCCTTGAACACCTCCAGGGATGGGGCAGCCACAGCTTCTCGGGGCAACCTGCCCCAGGGGCTCACCGCCCGCACAGGAATGAATTTCTTCCCAATATCTAACCCCAATCTCCCCTCTTTCAGTGTAAAACCATTACCCCTCACCCCACGGCTCCCCTCCCTGATCCAGAGTCCCCCCCAGCTCTCCTGGAGCCCCTTTAGGCACTGGAAGGGGCTCTGAGCTCTCCCCTTTTTTGCCTTCTCCTCTGCTCCGTCTCCTTCTGCTGGTGGGACCCCCCGAGCTGGAGGCAGCACTGCAGGGGGGTCTCCCCAGAGCAGAGCGCAGCAGAGGGGCACAGTCCCCCCTCGCCCTGCTGGCCACGCTGCTGGGGATGCAGCCCGGGATGTCGGGGGCTGGGAATCATCTACTGACTGGGTCTGTTAGACAACACCCACCCAAGCCCACCCTCTTTCCAAGCATGTCTTGTCTTTCTTCCCAGTCTTCCGAGCACAGCATGTGAGTCCCAGGCAAACGTACCTCCACTTGCTCTGGCCGTGGCCCGAGTACCAGAGGTTCATGGCAAGGCCATGGGATGTCAGGCTGTGTCCTGCACATCACGGGTATGTTTTGAAACCTGCTGAAGCTGTCTTTGCAGCCATAATGTCATATAATCCCATTCCTGAGTTTATCAAGTCCCGCATGGATACCAGGCTGCTTCAGGTGATTCATCCCGTGACTTGATGGAGACGTTCTTCCGGCCAAAGGTGCCAGTGGAGCCTGTCCCAGAGTCTTTCAGCTTTGCTGCTTAGGAAACCTGCTTCCTTGCCAGCGTGGTCATTTCACCCCAATATGTTTGTTTGCTTCTTTTTTTTATTTTCTTCCAATGTAAATACTGCATTCACTACTGAGAGGCGCTCTTTGTCCAGAGGAGCTTCTTTTCTAAAGAGACCTTGCAACCAGTGGTTGGGAGAAGTTTGTTTTGGTACTCTTGATTTGTAACTGGGCACTGGGAGCTACAGAGTCAGTGTGTGCTGGGGGAGCGCACCTGGGGACTTTGCTCCCAATTCTTTGACTTTTGATCCCTGCCTGCCTTGTTCTGCAGCACTGGTATCACAGGTGGAAGCCCTGAAAGAAGAAAACGACAGTCTGCGCTGGCAGCTGGACGCCTACCGCAACGAGGTGGAACTGCTAAAGCAGGAGCAAGGCAAAGCGAGCAGGGATGAAGACACAACCAAGGAGCAGCAGATGAAGCTTCTCCAGCAGGCTCTGCAGGGGATGCAGAAGGTGGGCTCGGACTTTTCTGTCGCTATGGCCTCGCTACAGTGGCAAAGGGGCTGTGGTGTGGAGCTGGAACACAAGCAAAGGCGTTTTGGTTTTCAGTGGCATCAAAACTGGCAAACGGGAGCAGCTTTCCATCATTTCCAGTGTTGCCAAAAAAAACCCCAAACAACCGAACATTCAAAACAGTGACTGTGTATGAACTGATAAGTCACATGGAAACAATCCGTAGTCTGTGGATTCCTGGTGTGCTCTTTGCTTGACCACACTGTGACTTCGGAAGTGCTGAGTCTGTGCTTACCCGCTCCGTGACCGTGTGAGGTCCTGGTTACCTGCATAAGCAAGAAAGTGGGAAATCCCAAACTTGCTTTGACGTCTTTTCTGCACTTTACGGGGCTTTCGTTCTCACGGAAATGTGTAGGGCATGTCTTGTTCTTTGGGATTTCCCTGGGCTGAATCTTGAGTGGTTTGGGTCCTCTTAAACCTTAACAGTAGCCCTTGGGGTACTGAGCCAGACCGATAACCGAGAATACAGAGCAGTAACAGTTCAGGTAAACACTTTGTTAAAATAAGAGCCTGCAGCAATGCTGTGAAGGCTGTGGCCGTTCTCTGGATGAACCTGACGTATAGACTGACAGCACTGGTGTTTGTGACGTTGGAGCTGGCAGGAGAAGCCTGCTGTAGTCACCATCAGCCCTCAGTGCCTGTGGAAACGGCAGGAATTGCGGGACTTAACAGATTTCCCTTGTCACAGGTGTCAGGCAGGTTGAGTTTCTCTTTACAGCGCCGCCAGGATGAGTGGCGGTGGGAGAACACTCTGGAGGAAATGCCTTGATGGAAAAAGATGCTGTCTGTTTGTAGCTATTAATGAATAGGATTATGAATCTTTTTTTTTTTTTCCTTCTAGTTGAGAGAGAAAAACGTTAAAGTAAACAACTGATTAGGGGCTTTTTAAGCATGGAAGAAAGCATTCACTGAAATATATATATATTTATGTATCCTGGGAAAAAGGACCTAGGAAAGCCGCTAGGCTATGTTTTGCCATATTAGTGTTTAAACTTTTCTCCTCCCAGTGACTTGATCTTGCCTGTTTCTGGGATGCCCGGTGCTGTTAGCAGTTTGCCGAGCACTGTTTTCTTCTGGCTCTAGTGGGATGAGCAGTCGTACTTTTCCTCTGTCGCCTGCGTTGGTTTGTTCAGTTAGGTTTCTGTACTCATCTGCTTTCCCTATGAAGACACTCAAGAGTACAAATCTGCTCTGAAAGCAGAATATTGTGTCCACAACCACGGCTCGGCTCTCTCTGCTAGACACCAGGTTGGCCTTGAGAATTTCATTCTGCTCGCCCCCGAGGTGGGGGTTGTGATTCGCCACCCCGCCTTTCTCCCGAGCCCGGCTAGCCAGGGGAGCGCACAGCGTGCCGGGGGTTCGCGAGCACCCCGTGCCGCTGGGCTGGTGCCCCGCGTGGGGAGCAGTCAGCGCATCTTTCAGCAGTGTGGAATTACGCGAACAGTAGTGCAAATCTCCTTACCTAGCAGCCGTTTCAGAGTATTTTCTTAAATTGCGAGACACCTCTGTGTTAACGTGGGGCTGGAGGTCTGGGAAGCCTGTAAGGTGGCTTCCCCAGGTCGATTGTGTCTGGGCTGCTCTGTCCCACGTGCTGGCCGTTTGCGCGGCCCCAGCGTGAGCCGGACTGGGGCAGAGGAGGACTCGGCTGTAAGGTGGGTCAGGCCCGCGGTCCGGTGCACGACACGTGCTTTATTTCAGGGATGGTGAAGGTTTGGTGCTGATGGAGTTACTGCCCCGTATTTACAAAGTCACGCTGGTTTTATATGCTAACAGGAACAGATATTTCTAAGGTACCTCGTAGAAAAGATTTCTTCTTCTTGTATACGTAACCTGGTAATCACTCCGAGTGTGATCTGGCTGGACTTCACCAAAAGCCCTCGTTCATTTTATATTCTTTAAATTGTAGGTGGCGAAAGGCAGGTTAAAAAACGAGTTTTATCTTTTCTCTTCCAGCATCTTTTGAAAGTACAAGATGAATACAAAAAGAGAGAAGCTGAGTTGGAAAAAGTGAGAGAAGAGAAACTAAAAATAGAGACATTATTAGAAAACCTGAAGGAGCAGGTACGTGCCATCCCAGTGCTTCCTTGTTCCCAGCAGTAAATGCAGTCCGTGCACTTCATGGGCTGTGATGGGCGCAGTGAAGGACCTTTGTCCTTCTGCACCCTTGTAGAAGATGCCTAACGCTGTCTTAGGAGCAGTTGTCTCTGGAAAGCTAGAAAAAATTACCTGCCAAATTGGAGGATGGATATCAGTAATGAACTTGCTGATTGCTTCCTGTACCAGCCAGACAATCTACGTAAGCAACCGTATAAATAAGAGATTAACTTTCATTTTATAGTATACAGTGGTATTGCAGCTGAAATGTGTTTTTCTGCAACCTGAGCTTTAAAAGATAAGAAAAAAGGGTCTCAATTGTCAAACAACGATTTTTATATATGTATTTTAGGGGCGTGTTTTGATCTGACCTCTGTAAAACACTATTGAGTTGAAAGTTTTTGTCAGCGTTATAATATTTTCATTCTTGCTGGGTTTACTCTAAACATAAATAGATACTGTTTCAGCTCAGACGTGATCCACTCTGGCTTTTGACTGCGGACCCATGCGTGAATCTCAGCTCGCTCGGTCCTCTCCTCTATAGCACAGACACAATCGTACAGGGTAGACAAGAAATGTTACGCAGCGTTTCGCACTGAGGACCGTAGAGCCAAACGCTCGGGCGCGTCCCAGATTTTCAATCTTTAGCCCCACCTTTTTGTGCCGTGAGCTAGGGAGGGCAATACGCGTCTTTCTAGTAAGTAAAAATGGCTTTGTATCCCAGTGAGCTTCAGGGCCTGATATCAAAGAGCAGAAATAACAGACTGTCATCAGTAAACTTTCCTTTTCTTTACCTGTGTATAGCAAAGCATAGCGGATGAAGAGGACAAGGAGAGAGATGCAATTGATTGTCAAGGGAATGTAAGTCCAAGAGCTTCTTTTCTGCTCCTTTAGTGAGAATAACTGAGGGAAGTGATGACACCTCATTGTAAAATGAGCAATTTTTTGAAGTTTGGTTTGTTGTGGTACGTACAGGCTGTCTTTATATCCAAATGAAAATCACCAAATTATCCATCGCGAGCAGCTTCTGGCTGGCGGAACAGTAGGTGTTTGCAACACTGGTGTAGAAATGGGTTCTGGTGTACAAGATGATTTGTTGCACTGTTATTCCAGCTG